ATGCTGCGTGGGCACGGGCCAAGAGGCGTCATGTAGTTTTGTTCAAGCGTCGCAATGTGGTAGACGCCGTCTGCCGACGGAAGCCACATCTTGTACAAGGTGCTTGGATCCCTTGGGCAGCGGCAGCGACGCTAGGTACCGCGGTATCTCGAGCTGCAAGTCGTGCGCTTTGAAAAGCGGGAGGCATGTCGGCAAGCTAACGTCGGGCAGCGCATCGTTGTCCGCCTCGATCGCGTGCTCGACAAGAAAGACCGTTAGCGCGCCCATTGCCCAGTCGACCGCTGCCCCGAGCGTCTCCGCCGCGGCGTTCATCGCGCTCACGTAGCTGCTGTGCTGCATGGTGGCGCGCTGTCGGCGAAGACGCAAGCGTCCCTCGGACGCTGCGCCTTGGAACGTCACGACGATATCAATCGCGTCATCCTCGTCGTTGCACGCGCTCGGTTGGTGCTTGCATGCGATAACCATCGTCTTCTTCTTCTGCTTGGCAGGCCCGCCCATGTTGATCGTGGCGGCCATGGGCGCCATCCTTCGAGGCGCAAGTGCTCGAGTGACGTCAGATACAAGCGCTGTGACTCGTCTCTCAACGGGATGTTCTCGTCTTGCCAGCGATGTCATTTCACTTCGTCAGTCTATAAACATTTTGGCCTATATACGCTGGTTACATTCGCCGTCCAAGGCGGCTGCATTGTCCACCGGAGACCCGACGGACGTCGCGGAGGTTGCAGGATCGCGCTCGCAACGTGCCACGTATTTAGAAAGACGCCAACGGCAAAGTGAACGGCAATTTCAGAGTGATGGTCGTTTCGATTTAAAAATGGCACATGCCACCTTCTGCTGGCCTGCCGCGCGACCACAAGTCCCTCATTACTCGCAGCCCGAGCAGAGCACACGATGGCGGTCCTCCCGCCCACGTACCTCGGCGCGGTCATCGTGCTCTTTGTGCTCTTCCGACTGCGCCACATTGTGAGCCTCACGACATTGCTCATGCACCGCGTGTCGTACTTTCTACCGCCATCGACTGCAGTGCTCGAGTCGCTCAACACGCCGCCGCCGCCCAAGAAGGCCAAGGCGCCCAAGCCCGAGAAGACTGCGACCGAGCGCCTCGAAGCCATGAAGCTGCTCATGACGCCGATCGAGACCGGGTCGCTCACGCACTGCCTCTACTTTGACTTGCTCGACACGATGGTGCTGCTTGGCGCGAGCGCCATGGTGGTGTTTTGGCTCCAGCAAGGCGCCGACGCCGCTTCGCCCGACGCAAGCTACTACGTGCTCGTCGTTGCGCTTTTGCTGAGTGTGCTCTTTCCTGTCCACGTCAAGTTTGGCCATGGCGTCTTTGGCTCGTACGAAGCGCGGCTCGGGCTTGTGGTCGGCGGCCTCGCGCTCATTGTCGCCTGCTTTTGCCTCTACACGCCGGCCGGTGTCTTTGATTTCGATGTGGACGGCGCGAGCTCGTCGCTCACGTTTCGCGTGGAGCGTGTGCTTGCGTCGATCACCGGCAACACCACGGTACCCGCGCCGCCAACGCGGTCGGTCTCGCTCTACCTCGGCGGCAGCCTCGGGCTTGTCGCGGGCGTCATTACGTCGACGCAGTTTCTGCCCGCGCTTCGTTTCGCGCGCATGTACCTCGACTTTATCTCGAGCCGCGCAATCAACACGAGCTGGAAGATCATACTCCACGTCAACCAGCTCCTCCCGCTGCTTGTCGCTGCCACGTTTGTCCGGCCGTTCTACGCGCCCTTGCTCACCGGCGCCGTCGTGTGCGACGCAGTCGATACCACGCTCTTTGCGCTGGCGCCGCGCGACTGCGGCGCCGCGTTCATGACCGAGTCGACGTTTCGGGACATTCGCTTGGGCCTCATTGTGCTCACAGCGCTACTGCGGCTTGCGTGCTTTCGGTCGCACTTGCAGTACTTTCTGCTCGAGCCCAAGGGCATCATCACCGGCATGCTCCTCCAGCGCGGTCGCATCGACACGTCGGCGGTCGTCGACAAGCTCGTGATTCCATTCTCTTACATTCCAGTGGTCGCACTGCAGTACCTTGCGCCGTGCCTCACGTACGTCGCTGCCGCGATGCTGCTCCAGCGCAAGACCCCGCGCTGCTTTCACTGGATGGCGTGGCTCGAGCACGTTGGCGTCGACAGGTCGCTCGTCGTCTGCGAGGCCACGACGGCACCGGCACCGGCAGCACCCGCGTTCTTCCTGGCCGCCGGCACCGACTTGGACACGAACGTGCTGCAGACCATCGTGACGGGACTCCAAGGATATCCGATCGCCCTGCCGTATGTGTTCGAAACGATCCTGGGCTTTGCCATCTTTTGGACGGCTTTTTCGTGGTTTGGCTTGTCCGTGGCAGGCCTCGTGTACTGGCGCCGCGTCGGCACGCACCACGTGAGCGTCGAGCAAGAAGAGGTCGTGACCAAGCACATCAAGCGCAAGCTCCAGCGCAAGCACAAGCTCTTGTAAGGTCAAGCAATAGAAGCCGTCGTGTCCCACCTGCAGAGTGAAATGCAATGAATTAGGGATGACCCGGCGGGAGGTGGCGGCCGCTGTTGGTCGCCAGGAGTGGTGGCTACGTCTAGGAACCAAGAAAGATCCACCCTGTCTTCAATGAGCGCACGCAACGAAGGAGAGCTCAGACCGATGGGACAGGCCTGCGTGTCGACGGCCAACGGCATCATACCTCCCGAGCGTGACGGCAAGCATGATCGCACCTTGGGCGGCGCTATAGCGTTGAAATGGCACGTCTCTGGCGACGTCTGCATCCTGAATGCCATCTCTGGCGGGTACAACAAGCGCCGCCGACGAGGTCGAGCACCTTCCTCGAGGTGGTGGTTGACGTATGTACCCTCCCAGACAGCTGCGCAACCTGCGCGCCCGCTTGCGCAGGGCTATTCTGTCCTATGCGTGAACGCTCACTCTAGCGCAATGTGCTAGCGAGACTGCCATCAATTCGGCGACAGAGGCCGAGCCTCGCTTTGGCGAGACCTTGCGTTGGCAGTCTACTTGTTGGCAAACGACATGACAACTCGTAGCAGGACGCAATTAGGAAAAATGGGCTGCTATTCCCGATGACAGCAGAAGAGATGGACAAAAATGTCAGTTGAACCCGACGTCCATGAGCTTGCGCGCGTGCCGCAGCTCGTGGTGCAAGCTGCGGAACGTGGTGGCGTCGACGGCGAACGTGGACGAGGCGGCGGGGCTGGTCCCGTGCATGGTGAGCACGACATGTGCCGTCTTGAGGTGCTACGCCGAGACGCCACATTCAAACCAAAGGATGGAAAAGGGCACGGAGGGCACCTTGGCGTGGCGTGAGCCAAGGACGACGTCGACATGGGCTTCCAGCCGGTTGTAGGCGTGGCCAAGCTACCGAGCAACTTCAACATGGCATATGCCGGACGTAAATGGACCTTCATGTTGGTGGCCGCGAGATGGCGCCGAAGCGCGCTATGCTGCTCGTTGTAGACGGATGCAAACGCTTTTGCCAAGTCGACGGCAAAGCCTAGCGCCCAGGTTAGCGTGCAAGGGCGCCGACGCGAGGTTACCGAGCTGCTGGAGCTCCGTGGCGAGCGCAACCTCCTCGACGTTGTACTTGGTCGCATGCAGAAGGATCCACTTGAGCGCGACGATGATGGCCTGTCATATGCAGCGTTGAGCAAGCAATGCATGGAGCGCAGTGTCGCGACCTGGCTGTCAAACTTGGTCACGGTGGGCATGAGCAGCACCATGGCCTAAGTATTGACGAATCAAACTCGACGATAAGAAAGCGAGGGCGCGTACGTCGTCGAACGAGCCCTTGTCCGTGACGGCGAAGGCGAGCAGTCGCGTGAGCTCGCAGAGATCCACGGCCCCTTGGCTCTACACGCAGGCCGTCACGTCGCCAGCGTAGCAGCACGCGCGCACCGCTTGGGCGACCACAGGGATCTCGGCGAGCAGCCAGGACGGAGGCTCTTGGTCACCGCAGAAGCGGAATTTCTACGCGACCGCATGAGGCGCGCTGGCAGCGTCTCGATGGCTCACCATCGCGGCCGAAAATCTTTTAGCCCAAACTTCGAAGGCAGGCGCCGAGATTATTTTTATACGAGGTTGCTTACTTGCTTACAAACGTCAAGTACAAGATTATAAAAATATAATCACTTGATGTTTGTAAGCTGAAACCGAAGTTTGAAAGCAGCTTCGAGGATCGCGTGCCGGCGTTTCACTGGCCTCTCTTGTGACGTCAGTCCGAGTTACTAAGATGGCGCGAGGACAATAATGTACACAGGGTTGATCAATAGCTAGTCTCTGTTGTCGTCGTAGTTTCTGGTGGTCTATTTGGTGTTTGAAACCCCGAAAATATGCCTGAGAGCGGATCCCACCGAGGCGAAATTGCTGGACAATCGCAAGACAAGATCGCCCCCGCCACCGTACGCCCGCCATACGAATATACACTACAGGGTGGAGTCGGTGGTCGTGACGACCACCCGACCAAAGGTATCGCTGGTTAGTAGTTGTGCGTGCTTTTGTTGTTGAAAGGAATAATTTCCAGTGGGCACGAGTTACCGGCATATGCCGTTTTCATCTTGCTTCTTCCTTGTGTTCCTTGTGGTGCTCTTGTGCGATTGATGACCTTCGCTTTCCGCGCGGGACACGACTTTGTTGGAGTACAAAAGAGTACGAAATGGTGGCGTTGCACCACTCTTTGGGTGGCATTCACTACAAAATTCGACCTACGCTCGTCACTTCAACTTCTCACGTTTTGTCTCTGTGTTCTCATCTCAATCAATAGCCCAACGTTGTCGTTTGAAACGTCTATATATATATGAGCGTGTTTTGCGTTATCTTTCATAATTACACAAAGACTTTGCATTCGTTGAGACTAGCAATCTCCTTTAGAAACGTCAATATTGACACTATTGTTTCCTAGTAAATAATGTACGCGACTCGGTGACATTCAGACAACATATTGTCGTCATCGGAGCGTGTCATGCGTCCATCTCGCGGATGAAAAAGTCGAGGCAGTCGTCAAACGAAAGTGAGGTGGCTTCCACCGGAGTGGGGCTTGTCAACGGGCCGAGGTTGGCGCTCGCTTCGAGCTTGAGGGGCGTGAACGCGTCAATGGACTCGTCTGGAAGGCTTGCCATCTCATCCTTGACGAGCCGCATCATGCCGCCCGTGTTGGTCGGGCACTGCAGCTTGCGCACGAGCTTCTCGCGGTACTTTTGCGCATGCGTCTGCGCCTGGCGCGGGGTGCGCGTGCCGACGTGCGCCGCGATGGCCTTCCACGGGCCACTTGGGTACTTGTCCAAGGCAACGAGGAAGCGCTTGTGCTCGGCCGGCGACCACGCGCCCGTGACGGTGGGCTTGGTGACGTTACGCTTGCGCGCCGGCGCCGCACTGGGCGGGAAAAAGTACATCATGTTGTGTGTGGCTTGGCAATGAGAAGCCAAAAGTGGAAATGAAGAACGGGGTTGACCCTATTGTAGATTTTGCAAAAAGACATGTGGTCTGTGGGCTACTAATCTGCCGCTCGCATAAAGCAAAAACAATCTAACCATAGCTGGGACATGTTCGATCACCATCGTCGCAGCCACGCGTGGAGAGAGCCGGGTAGGGCTGGGGTAGGGCTCTGGTGGAATAGGTGTTGCAAGATTCAAACTGCATGTTTGACCTGTTTCAAAAGATAGTCTTTCATAGAAAGAACCTCAAAGTGTCGCAATGACCCTGTGCATGAAAACTACAACATGTCGATGAGTTTAGCATGGGTCAGGTCAACATGACCAGCACGAGTCGCAGCATACATTGCACTAGTACAGTGCTGCTTTGCAGTGTACTCGAATTCAAAAGGCACCAGATTGATCAGCGGTCGAGTCGACAAACCGGATTGTAGATGAGCGTATGACTCACTCACACTGCTCGTGCTGCTGGAGACCGAAGAGAGATAGGATACTCGTGGCTTCTTCAACAAGAGCACTCAAAGTCCGTCGCAAACGAGACGACCGTCCTTCGTGGTGTTGAACAAAGCGGTGCGCAACACCATTCAAGCACAGGATCGAGTCGCTCTGTAGGCTTCATTGTGCTATTGAGTCGCTCGAGTACTGCAAATGAGCGCGATGAGTTAGCGAGATATCAGATGACGTGGTGAGGCAAGCGCCTTGTTGAAGGACCCATCAAAGCTGCCATCGACCTGTCTGGTGCGACATTCGACATGTGTTAACGTAGTTTAATTGATCTTGCACTGCATCTATCCGTTCCTAGCAGATATGCACGACTTCGAAACACTGCAAGTCGGCATCGAGGGCACCAAGGCCAAGGGGCCCGAATGAGATGGGATTACGTAGATCTCGTCACTTGATTCGTTGACTTCGTCATTCCACCATCTTACACTTTCCAGCTAATGTATTCGACTCGCGCTGTGCCTTCAAGGCTTAGGGAAAAGAAGCGGCAGAGTCGATGGCGCTCGATTA